TTCATAAATTCAATGGCATTTTATATTAGGTTCTCGGTTAATATTTAATTTTGATATCTTATTTGTTAGTTATATTTGCACGACTTAATTACAGAGCCAGTTATAATAAATTTTACATTAACGTTGTCAGAGGCACGAATAAGAGATAGGCTGGATATACTGCTCCCAAGATATGTGCCTGACTTACAAAATCTGTGTTAACGCGAAGTACGTATGCGCTGAGAAAATATATAAAATTTTAATGATGTACGTGTAGTGAACATAGTGTGTATACATTCAGTCGATTTATCCAATCAAATCAATCAAAGTCGTGTTTACTCTGTATTTTTAGACAGCAAGAGTTGGTAGATCTTGATAAATGTTTTTTTTTAGGTCTGATAAAAGACAGATCCTATCAAAATAAAAACCTAAACCTCTTTCTCACACACACACACACACAACGCTGTTCTACTACCGTAAATCGTAGATCTTAATTGCTAGAAACTTAATTCATTAATGAACAGTTTTTCTGGAATTTAAACGAGCAGACGGGTCTCCTGATGGTAAGTCCATCGCCGGCCATGGACACCTGCTACTCAAGAGTCACAAGTGCGTTGTCACCTTTTCACCCTCGCGAATGAGGAGGAGGCTTTAAGGGGGTTGGGTTCCAATAACCTCAGTCACTCGGTGAAAGGTTGTCAGGCTAAGAAATTGCTTAACACAGGTTTTCTGTGAGGCCTTTCCGGTCGCCGGTAGAGTTGGCCCATTTGTACTGAAGCACGGCTCTATCACGGTATACATTTTGTAATGTCCAATATTGGTGCTAATTCTGGTGTTCGAAATCTCTCTAAACTAAACTAAAAATCACTAAAAATTTGGTTAGTACGTACGTTTTCAGAACACAAATGCTGTTTGAGAGTGTAAGGTTTTTACACTATAATAATAGATAAACAATAGGTAACCTAGTTATAACTAGTGACCGGATGGCGTAGTGGTTTGTGTAATGGATTCCCGCTCAAGTTAAACATTTGTGTGCATGAACATTTAATGTTTGATTTGGTCTGGGTGTTTCTGTATATAATATTTATGTATTTACAAACAAGTATATATGTATTTATATCAGTTGTCTAGTAGCCATAGTACAAGCTCTGCTTGGTTTGGGACTAGATGGCGTTGTGTGAATGTGGTAGAAAATTCTTATGATATTATTAATTCCTATTGTATTTAGCTAAGTCTAACTAAACCAAAAAATGATATGTTCGGGTTAATGACACTTATTACGTCAACCGTTTAAGTACGAAGCTTAATGAATGTACTGCTTATTGCTAATGAATAAAATGTACGTGTTGGCGTAATATGCTGACACGACAAAGTGCGATTGCGTTGCCTGTACAGACAGGAATAATAATTTTTTATTTTATTTTTAGTTTAGTTTAGAAAATTTTCGAACCACAGATTTAGCACCAATGTCATGGTCAATATATATAGATAAACATTTAATGTATAATATGCAATTTATATTAGTATGAATTTATTATTCTTCTCGGCACAAGACTCTGTTAACAAGATGTGAGCCGACTAAGGGTATATATGACACATACACACCGTTCATTGTATTGTACCGTTGTAGCCTAAGTAGTAGTAGCCTAACTAATAAGTTTTATACTGTCGGTATAAAACTTATTTAATTATGTAAATTCTGATTGCAACGCGCATCTTCCATGAATATAAATGTTACGTAATATTTTATGGTTAAATACTCCCATCGTAATCCACTACCTCTCAGAACCAGTTTAAATCCATCCAATCCTGTACCAGCATCATCATAAAACTTCGGCCGGCCCAAGCATGCAACTCCTCTAGTCCTCTTGGTACATCGATAGCGAATAACATTAAATAATATCCTATGATATCTTTATATACAAGAAAATACTTAAAATAAATACAGATTTACCGTAAACTATACATGTAAACCTTTTAACGTTTCAATTCATGAAACTTTGGCTGTTCCATTACTCGGTTTAAATAATATATTATGATACAGATAAAAATGGTTCTATGAAAACAAAACCTTCTTGTATCCTGAATACAGAACAAAATTTTTAGCTTTGTGTCCTTCCCGTACATATAAACATTCATCAACATCAACAGCCTATAATAGTCCACTGCTGGACATAGGCCTCTCCTTAGAAAGGAGGTTTTGGCCTACTATACCACGCTGGCCAGACGGGTTGGTATAGGGTTTGTTTCAAGTTTTCCTTCTCTTTGCAGTGCTGTTGTCTAGTAGTTTGGTCCCTTAGTTGGCTCTTACAACACCCACGGGATGAACAGGGATGGTGACATTCCGTATTCTTAATCCGTCAACATTTAAACATTGAGAGAACCGTTCTCAATGAAAACAAATGTGTTATGCTGCCGAACGCCACGTTTGCCTATAAAGGAGTAAATATACTTTTTTATTCTGATAACAACTTTTGCACCAAATAAATCCAATTCGTTAATTCGCGCAGGGTTCGGTGCTTGGACCGCTGCTGTTTTTGTCCTACGTCAACGATATGGGCAATTGTATTGTCAATAGCAGATGCTATCAGACATTTGCCTTGGAAATAAAAATAAACAAGCGCCATATGACCTTCTAGAGTCTGACCTAAATGTCCTAACAAAACTGTGTTACGATGCAGGTCTTGTACTAAAAGCTACCAAAACAAAATTAATGGTCATCAAATCTCCATATATTAAACAATTGCCCAACAAAAACCTAATCGCACACGATCATAGTTGCTTACATACTAAAAGTACTACATGTTGCTGTCCAAAGATTGAAGTAGTTGATAAATATACCTTGGGCTTGTCATAGATAATAAATTTCACTGGAGTCTTCATATTGAATATGTATGTACAAAATAGAGACAATTCCTGGCAAATATTACAATTATCAACAACCGTATTCCATTTAAAGTAAAATTGCTGTTATTTAATGCACTTGCACAGTCTCACGTCCAATATGGACTCAGCAGCTATGGCCGAACTTACAAAACATACCTGGATAAGATTTATAACTTACAAGTAAAGATCCTTAAAATTATTGTTTCTAATAACATAAAAATTCAAATTCCAGGACAATCCCAATGATCTTTTCAAACACTGCAAAAGTTTACCGATACATAAACAAGTTCATTTTAATATATTAAAAGAACAATTTTGGATTGGATGGAACATTCGGTATACACTCGGGGTATCTCTAAGGCAAACTACATAGGACAACAGCACTGCAGAGAGAAGGAAAACTTGACACAAACCCTATACCAACCCGTCTGGCCAGCGTGGTATAGTAGGCCAAACCCTCCTTTCTAAGGAGAGGCCTATGTCCAGCAGTGGACTAGTAAAGGCTGTTGATGATGATGATGATGATCTCTAAGAACCGGTTGTGTACGTCACGCGCTAACAATACTTACGGCGAGCGAACATCCAACTACCTTGTACCTCGACTTATTAATAACTTGCCATATGAATTAGTTAATAGTGTAACCGACAAAAATATTAAATATAATACTTCCTTAACCTAATGTAACTATTGTTATTTGATGTTTTTTTTTATTAATATAATGTTTTCAAATCATACAATAATTAGTGTACCATATACATAGTGGACAAATGCTAGTATGTAACTACCCTGTTTCACTTAAATTATATTAGATTTATTTTATTGCTCACTGAGTGAATTCACAATAACAGCATTAAAAATTATTTCTTATAATAAATAAGTAGATGGTATAACACTATTGCATTGGGCTAAGCCTGTAAAAATAGTTGTTTTTAAAGAAAATAAATAAATAAATAAATAAATAAATATTAAAGTGTAAACTCTCGACGGCTCAAACATAAACCTATGTGGTTTCTCCAGAAGCTGTCGTTTTGTAAACTTTCTCTGTCAAGTTGTTTTATGTGATAAATAAAACAAAAATTCAATGTTATTAATTGAGAGAATATTATACTTTGATTGTATGTGTGATGTGGAATACATTATCGAGGAATCCGATCAAAGTTGTTTGTGACGGAAACTATAAAATTAAAAAACTAAGTTATTAAAAACGAGTGTGCTTTAGACCATACGACTGAAGTAAAACTTCTCGGGTATAAGAGAAAGAAAGAAAGAAAATGTGTGCTCGCACCTCTCTCTCTCTTTCTATCTTCACTAACTTATATCTCCCTATCAACCTCCGTTCGCCTTGCCCGATCACACTTTTCGTAACGCTCTCTTCACGCTTTCACCAGCTTACTCCCCAAGTCAAGCGTTCGTTAAGAAGTTTAACTTCAAAAATATATCAAAAACCACATAGGTATCACGGACTATTCAAATCCAAACCTAAAAATTAACACTCTTGTTTCCCACGTGGTTTTGTTCGGAGCGAGTTTGGGTCTGCGGCTACGACCCTACCGACGTTGTTTGTGTTTATTTAAGATTGGTTCGCACAGATTATTTAAATGGGAGTTCTATTTAATTCTCTGAAGTAAACAATATCATTAGAAGGTTCTGTGGATTTGGTAAATATGTTTCCATGAATGTCAGGTTGTTTGAAGCGGAAAAATATCTTCAAGGCAATATTGTATGTGTAAAGATTGTTTTTTACGATAATATTAGTTGAACTAGTAGAATAATTGTATTTGTCCTGAACGTTTTGGCACAAAACTTAAGGTAACCAAAAAATCAACATTTTAGCTTAACTCAACATCTTTGTTTCTTTTTAAATTATTTAGATATTTACAATATAGTACGACTTTAGTAAGTTTATTTAACATGTTTTTCAGTTTCTTTCTCCTTTCTGACTTTTATTTGTTTTATTTTTTAACTATTCATGTGTTTTCTCTCAAATTGCATAAATAGAACAGAAGTACTAACAGTTCAAATTTTTTTACACTAGTAGTTTCATTTATTTATAATTAGAAATTAATTATTATTTAAACACAGGTACAGAATTATTATGTTTTATGTGTCATAAAAATCTTTCATAGTACAAATTTTACAACGCTTTTTTATTGTCTTCGAGCAAGAAGTCAGCAACTCTTTCCCCAATAGCAACAGCTATAGATGCAGTATTGAAACGTGGAACGCTAGGCAGCACGCTTAGGTCAGCAACTCGAAGGCCTCGTACACCGAGCACCCGCAGACGTGCATCGAGCACTTTCCCTAAGGGCGCTGTGCCCGCCGCGTGGTACGCCGCAAACGTCATGTGTCGCACGTAACACCGCCAGTAATCTTGTGGGTTCATCTCATACCGAGGACATCCTTTGAAATTCAGCTTTAGCAATGAAGCATTCCCTTTCTTAAATATATGCGAATCAACCATTTGTTCTACAATCCCGATGGACCGCACCATATCGTCTACATCTCTATCATCCGCTAAGTAGTTTGGGTATATAGCTGGTGGCACTAAAGGATCTTTGCTCGCCAATCGCACGTTGCCTGACGAACGAGGCTCTAACAAGACGGGGCACATTAGAATTATCGCATGTTTCTTATTTGCCTCAATGATTTGTTCCATTACGTCGTCACATACATCTATAGTGTGTTTGAAAAGTAGTTTATAAAGTGAAAATACATTCTTTTCGACATACACGTTGATAACTTGTAAGTTGGGGACATTGCAGTCGCTACCGTTTGAACTTACATTGAGCAGTTTTCTCTGTTTGAAGTCATAGCAATGGGTGTTGGCAAATATACTGACATCGGAGAGACCATTAGACGTGTATGCACCTCGTTTCGCAATTAACAGTTTAGTTAACTCGATGAAGGTCGAAGCCAATAATTTAATGTTGTGAACAGTCCCCGTACCTGCGTCAATTTGTATCACTAACATTTGTAGCACGTGGTCTGTCATTTTATCGCCAACAGGCAGATTTACTTTCACTGGTATACTCATGCTTTTTAAGTGCTCGGCTGGCCCGATACCCGATAACATCAGTATTTGCGGAGTACCAATTGTACCTGCACTTAATACAACTTCTTTTCGAGCATACACTTTTAAGTTTTCTGAACCCTGGACTACTGTGACGCCACGAGATATGTTCTTTTTATTAATAATTACCCCTGTACACATGGCATTCTTCGCCACTCCAAGTTTTCTCTTTACATCTATTCTGGCTAGATATCCCCGAGCTGTACTCATCCGTTCCCCTTTGTACACGTAACCTACAACTTTAGTTACACCAATTCGTGATTCCGCGTTTACATCAGGATTAAAAGGGAATTTCAACGACTTAAATGCACGTATTAGCCTGGAATGCCATACGTTCTGGGGGTTGCTAAAAAAGCCCACTTGTAGCGGTCCAGTAGTATTGTGGAAAGGTCTAGAAGAGGATGGAAGTTGGCTAAGGTCTTGCAAGCCTTCATAGCGGAGGAAGTAGGGCATTACGTCATCGTAGGTCCAGCCGGGGCTGGTTATTTTATCAAAGTCCTTCCTGTCACTGCGCGTGTGTATCATAAAATTGATAGAGGTGGAACCACCGAGGCACTTGCCGCGACTGAAGCGGCATTGCTGGCCGTTTGATGATAGACAAGAGACGTTGTTTGATATTGTTCTATAATTCCAGTCTAGATTAGAACCCAAAAGTGCCATGGCAGCAGCTGGTATCTGTAAAGTGTACATCTAATTGTTTTTATCAACATTTTTAACATTTAAGTTGGAAATGTGTATGGGTAGTAAGCATGAACTTTGCATAAAGATCTACTAACTACCTACCTTTTTTTTTTTTTTTTTTCCGTGCGGAAATCCCCTCGGATACCACCTGTCGGTGGCATGTCGGACTTGAACCGACTAAAACCGCACGCCGTCTCGGGTACTAATAGCCGGGGAACCAGGTATACCCTAGAAAGGAAGTCCCTGGTACCCCGACATACCTCGGGTCATCTACAGACGAGTAGACGACCCCCCCCGTGTGGGAACCCCATGTTCCCGGTGCTCCCTGGAAGCGAGCGCGCTTCGCAACGCGCTTGCCGCCACCCCGGCCTGCTTCTGCTAGGGTGACAGATGGCCTCACCTGTCACCCCCAGGCCTGACTAACTACCTACCTGCTGATCCAAACCAACCTTGTATGTTAAGAAGTATTAGATGTGTAATTATCTGTTGCAGAAAGTACATCTTTTCACAAGAGCACAACTACTCTTAACCTACTTTACTCTAGAATAATATTCTTCGTTTTTTACAAACAATTACATTGCAAATCAGTAAAACTTATCATTTTCTGAAGTGACTGATTGCTTGATGTTTCTTCCTTCCTTTAATCTAACAGTTTTTGTTTTGTATAAATTCACGTATTCAATGCTATGCCTTCCTCAAAGGGAAATAAATTGTTCTGCCGACCTTTATTATGAATTTAATTACCTACTATTCATTAGTACTGTTTGTGAGAACCCGATTTTATCTTTGTCTTGACGATATTTACTTTTAAACTTGCCCATAGCAAGTACAATATGTAATTTGAACGTCGCGCCAAGGAAAGGACCAAAAGCTTATCAGTACGGGCACTTGAAGGATTTTTTTTCTCCTACAGAAAAATAAAGCTAGTTTATAAAACTAATATATAACGATATATGTCCTCAAGTAGATATTTTTAATGATAGTATAATTTATACTATATACATACACATACATTTGTATGCAACATTTGTATGCAAGTGCTTTTTGCATAAAACTGAAATATATAAACCCATCTCAATCATCAAATCAACTGATTATTATGCATTTAATTTTTCTTTTTTGCGTTTGTTATACACCTTACCCAAGCTCTATTACCGCGATTGTGAATGACGTGTATAGTTTTAATTTGACTTCAGATTTGAAATTGTACGCTATTACTTGTTATTGAGTAAGGTATGATCTGTTGTCTGTAACTTTACCTATTAAGTAAAAATAATAATAAAATAAAATGTAAACTCACCTTAGAGATGAAGGTTGGATCACCACCAGCTTCAATAAGAAGAACATCCTGACCAGCGAGTGCAAGCCTGGCAGCTGCTGCAGCGCCTGCCGCACCAGCCCCTACTACTATATAATCAAATTTCTGGCCATCTGAAATTTTATGTTAATTAGTCGACTTGCGAAAACACATACGACAATAACAAAGAAACCGAGAACCAAAAAGCTTGCCGATCGTCAGTCTGTTCTCTAAGACATCGACCTTACACAAGCAAATGTTTGTTCCAATAGTTCTTGTTTTACTTCAGCTTGTTTAATCTCGCGAGCGAGCTATGTATGACGTTTTTATAGCTAAAGATCTAAATTAACTGTCTAAATCAAGCTTGTGTCAATAGGCTTGCTATGTCCGCCAAAATTAGTAAGACGTTTAAAAGCGGACTTAAGAAACATGTGTATACATTGTAGCATCCAATACGCTAAGAGGTAAATATTGTATTAGTCATAAGTTAATTACTATGTATCTCATTATAAGTGAACTAACTGTAAGTTATTATGAGGATACAAAAAATACTGAAGGTCGTTGAAATAAACGGTTTCCAGAGTCACAACCGCAAATAGATAAACGGATGTGAACTCTTACATTCAATAAAAAAGTGGCGTATTAAAGGCTGAGCGGATTTTATTTATTTATTTATTTAAATCTTTATGCACAAATGTGGCAAAGGCGGACTTAATGCCGTAGGCATTTTCTACCAGTCGACCTTAGGGCGATGCAGAGCCAAACGTGGTAGATGCACAGAAATTAAAAATGTGATTTATTAAAACTATAGCATATCTAGAATATCATATAACCAGAGTACTTATATAAATAACATTGGAATAATTTTAAAGATAAATACAATAAGTAATACACATATAATACTAATACCCATAATACATAAATATACATACATATACATTTATATACTTAAATACATATAATATAAATTCTAAATGGAGAGAGTATAAAATTAAGATGGATTTGATAGAGTGTTTAAAAAATGTTGCCGCACAACATCTTTCACACTCTCACAGTATGGAATAACCATGCCATCGTAGGTAAGTGGTGGAAGTGAGGCAAGGTCGAGCTGGCTCATAGCTCGGTTACTCCCGATGACAATAGCCTGACATTTATTGGGATTGACCGATACGCCAAACATATCAGACCAGTGTTTAATGGCTGTCAGGTCACTATTTATAGCCGAGATCGCGGACGATACATTGCACAACTCTGTCTGGTAGTATAGCTGCAAGTCATCAGCGTAGAGATGAAAGGAACACTGAAGTCTTGGGATGATAAGATTAATGAAGATAGAAAACAGAAGAGGTGAAAGAATACCGCCTTGAGGGACGCCAGCAGTAAGATCACACCAGCTAGAGGAAGAATCTTCGACACTGACTGACTGCTGACGATCCCGAAGGTAAGAGGAAAACCAGCCCAGTGCATCTTGAGAGACCGAGAAATGGGATAGGACAGCAAGAAGAAGTTCATGACTGACGGTATTGAAGGCATTCGAAAAATCAACCAGTACTAAGGTAGTAACCTTAGTATTCTCCATCCCCACCTTAATATCGCCAGTCACTTTAAGAAGAGCAGATGCCGTGCTATGGCCTGGTCGAAACCCTGACTGAAAGGGACTGAGTAAGTTGTTACTGTAAATGAAGTGGGAGAACTGTTTGTGGACGCAGGCCTCTAGCACCTTGGAGAGGAAGGGAAGGATAGAAATTGGACGAAAGTGTGTGGGAAGAGACGGATTGGGAGTTTTAGGTAACGGGCGCACATACGCTCTCCGCCACAGAGAAGGAAATGTGCCAGACATGAGAGAAAAGTTAACAATATGGGAGATAGCGGGAAGGAGGTGGACCAGCAATGTGGTGATCATTTTCCGACTAATGCCATCACAACCAACTGCTTGGGATCTGATAGATTGAATAATCTTCTTAATCTCTCCTTCTGCAACCGGACTGAAGTGAAAAGGGTTTAAGTAAGGGCGCGGTAGACTATTTATATAAGTACGGGTGTTATGTTCAGATACAATGTCCAACGTGAGAGAGGTGGTAAAATGTTGGTTTAGGGAAGCGAGATTTATGGATTGTGGAAAGTCCACATGTCGCGATCTGCCGATACCAAGAGTCCCAAGGAACTTCCAGATGACGGCAGGAGATGAAGAGGAAATATTATCTAGAATGTGGCGGCGTTTAGCGTTCCTTATCACTTGGGTACACCGATTCCTTGCAGACTTGTACAATTGCCAGTTGACTTCGATACGGTCCCTCTTATAAGTCCTAAATGCCCGATCTCGACGTCTCATGGCCATCTGTATACCCCTGGTCATCCAAGGTGCTGGCAATCGTTTAAGCCTAACCTTTTTAACCGGTGCATGAATTTCGTACAGTTTAGTCACTATTTCGTTAAATACGTGCACCTTGTCATCGATAGAAGTAGAATCGATCAGGGATGTCCAGTCAATATGTGACGCATCGTCATTCAATTTGTCAATATCCATTCGTCCAAAGCAACGCCTGTAAAGAATCCTAGGTTTGGGCTTAGGAGGTTTGAGAATGTAGGAGAGGAAAATCAGGTCATGATGTGAAAATCCGGAAGCGTCAAGCTGACCATGAGAGGAAACAAGGGAAGGATTAGAGGTAATAATTAAGTCGAGCCAAGTGTCCTCGCTGACGTTATTGTGGTGAGTGGCCTGTAATGGCAGAACAAGAAAGCTGACCGACTCAAGAAGGAGTTGGAGTTTACAGGAACGAGTGGAGTTTCGGGCTAGGAGATTGGTATTAAAATCACCCATGATGATATGATGAGCGTACTCTGCACCCAGAGATTCAAGAACTGTTTCGAAATCAGTGAAATAGTCAATTGAAGGGGGACAATAGACAACACCGAGTACAACCTTAGCGCCTTTGACACAAACCTCTAAGAATAGGAATTCAGCAGAAGCATTATAATGAGAAGAGGAAGCTGATATAATTCTATAGGAAAAGTCACTCCGTAGGTAAATAGCCACGCCACCTCCCCCCCTTCCGATCCGATCGTTCCGGATAAGAATAAAACCGGGCAGGGAGTAAGAGGTGGAGAGAAGATGCGGTTTGAGCCAAGTCTCGGAGATCAGAACGGCATGAATATTAGCATCATAAAATGCGTCATACAAATCAGCGTAGTGGCTAGGAACACTTTGGGCATTTAGATGGCACACATTAAATAGTTGGCTGTTTGTGTTACTACTAAACTTGTTGCGTAAAACACCACCGAGAGTTTCTGTTACGGAAGAGAAGTTATCATCACTAAAAGAGGTTTCAGATTCATTGGCAGAAACATAATATTCACTACCTGAAGACATAAGTACGAATGAACTATAAATATTTATAAGTAATACTAATAGTAATAAAAATAATATATATATATATCGATTAACTATGTGCGTGCCGATGTTCTGGTACAACGCTTGTATCTCTGCACCACCCGCCAGCTTACATCACTAGAAAAAGTTTGAACAAAAAACAAAAATTTAAAATGCAATTCATAACAGTGTGAAGAAAACATAGGTGTTAATACTAATGTTAGACTATGGTTCACCCTCAATATCAGATATTATATTACGCGCAGCGTATCCGAACAGCAGTGACCGAAATGAGTGAATGATTAAATATTTAATCTATGCTACTCTATACTCTTTGGTGATACACCTAAAACGTCAAGTCGAAATGAACAAAAAATGGATAAAACAATAAGAAAATAAAGGTTAGAAAACTACACGAATAAAAACAATTGAAAGATATGTATACGAAATGGGCTAAGGGTCTTGTATACAAGGAATAATTATGAGGTGGTATAATTATATGGTAAATATTACTATTAAGTGAATGCTAAATGTCACTGCTAAATTGAATTTATTTATCAGACCTACTTTCTCCTGCAGGCTTTGAGGATTTTGAGGAAGTCGTTTGCGCCCTTGGATATTTCACCAGCAGCGGGTTCAGCTCGTCGATGGTCGTGATCCTGTGCCGGATTCCACCAGGGACTTTGATGACTATAATACCATCTTGAGTCCAGCACGCAGGGACACCGAAATGTAGCCTGGCCTTGGCGAATATGGATTGCCTGTTTTTTGTCAGGAACTCCTTTATAGTTATAGAGGGACCCTTGAGTCTTGATTTAGCCTTCCAAACTGACGATCTGTCATCCATGGTGGAAAACTTAACAAGTATAGGCCGCTGACGCTCTTTATTCGATACTCCAAGTCGGTGGCAGACCTTAATGGAGGAAGCAGGTATATCCCTCAGGCCCAACTTGCTGTTTATGACCTGTATTGCGACACTCCTACAGTCTTCCTTCTCAGCTTCCTCGACACCCAAGAAGATTAGTGACTTACGCCGCTGTCTGGTTTCTATGGCGTCAATCTGTCTGGAGCATTCACCTATTTGTTTCCGAAGCATGCCCAACATGGAAAAAATTAATTCCCGAAAAGTTCGGAATTCCTCCGCAACCTTGGCCACAGTGTCTTTTGCGGGACCGGCACTTTGTATCTGAGCTTCAAGATCAGACATCTTCTTGGCGAATATCTCCTCAAGTGTCCTCTGCGCCGATAATATATCAGAGAACTGCGACATTCTTGATTGTTTGTAATATAAAATAAATTGTTAAACACTGTAAAGCGATGCGCTGGCAGGTGGTGTCGATTTATTGGCTTATATCACATTAAATGTTCATCAAATATGAGTTTTTTTGAGTACCAACACATAGACTGTGATAACTTCTCCCAAGATATAAAATTAGGCAAAAGTTACAATAAATATAATTTAAATTCAATTTTACGAGATTTACGACACTTCTATAATTTTCTACACCTACCGCCGAAAAAATATTCTGTCAACACTCAAAACTTAATTGGCTAAAGTATGTATAGAATAATAACTACTAATGGGCAGACTGTTTTCTTTATCACTTAAGCTGTTGAAAAATAAAACTGAACATTTTGGTTCAAACTCTCTTTATTTCATAAAAAAAAAAGTTTGAAATCGTCTTTTATGTAAACTCGAAATTCATACATCGACACACACAAAAACAACAATCTCTGTTTTGTCAAATAGTAAGCAAATAAATTTAATATAAACTGATAAAAAACCTATGATATGCCTGTGCCGATCTACAATCGTCCATTTCAAAGGGGTTGAGCCTTATGAGAAGAAAGGGCAAACAAACTCATGGCGTTCTTAATGGGAATTATTACAGATGTGTCCATAGTTAATTTAAAGGTAAGGTAACGGCAAGTTCATCTGTTAGTCCCATAGTAGACGTTTTACTCTGCTCAAATTACATACTTACATCTATGTATGACCTGGGTCATAGCGCAGTAATTCAATTCTGAGTTAGTATTTGTATAAAACTTACTTTTCAACTGTATGCCTTCAGGAAACGTGTAGAAATCATTATTCAGTATGATATTGACCGCAAAAAATATTATCCACCACGATATCGCTGTCAGGAATGCGATCCTGCAATAGACAGATAAACATCCAACGCTCAATGTATTTCTTTTACATGTTATCAATCCTCAATACATACACTCACAGCAATGTTCTTGAAGGGGTAGACAGACGCGAATTAAACGACGAATTAATTATTCAATTAGTTACACTTACATAATAAGAGACAGATTACGATACGCATAAAGGATCAACACTTGAGTCTAAACACGAAAATCGAAGTCCACAACCATTGTAAGTTAATAAAATAAATGATTTTAGGTTGATGTAACAGAATATGAACTCCAGATATGGCCAGGATAAGGGACAGGTTATTGCCGTCAAGCAGGTACTCGAGGGATTAGGTAGGTAAATTGCGAAGACGTGTAAACGTGAACCGAAACGAAAAAATGAAAAATAACGCAATGGTAAGAAAGGCGTGTCCTCTCGATTGGATACTAGGAAAGAACTCGAGCATCTGTTCGACTTATCTTGAGACCAAGATAGCAGACTACGGGTCTACTCTTCTCGAATTGATTGTTGCTCTAATGCATATTAAGTTAACTTAAGATATTAGGTTATTACTGCATAGCCCTTGTCTTCTCTCCCAACCTTTTGTAGTGGTCGACAGAACCATTATGGACCCCATAATGGTTCTGCATTTTTAGATTTTTAAGACCATTTATGTACACTATGATGATATGATTATCAAATGATTTACCGCATGTTTTTTTTTTCATTTAAAAAAGACAACTCCCGCAATAGAAGTAAATCCTGTGCCGCGGGGGACTTTACAAACATGAAATGGACACAAAAAATGAAATGGACGCCCAGACACAGACAATTTGTGGACAGACCAGCCACACACAAAGTGTTGTATTATGTGGGGATCGAACCCACAATACTCAGCGCAATCCGTGCAGTCATATGGGATGCAATAAATGATTGAGTAACTACATATCTATACTAATATTATAAAGCTGAAGAGTTTGTTTGTTTGTTTTAACGCGCTAATATCTGGAACTACTGGTCCGATTTGAAAAATTCTTTCAGTGTTAGATAGCCCACTTATCGAGGAAGGCTATAGGCTATATATCATCACGCTAAGACCAATAGGAGCGGAGCACCAATGAAGAATGTTTCAAAAACGGAGAAAATTTAATACTATTGAGAGACGCAGACGAAGTTGCGCGGGTCAGCTAGTATTTAATAACTATGCAATGTAAAATACTCAATATTCACTTTATAGCTTGAACGTTATTGCTCTCACAATGTTTTCTTAGATGGAAGAATTTACAAAAGTTTTCATTCTGTAGCCCGTTGGGCACAGCAAATAAAAGATGAAATTCCTTTGATTATCGTCTCGTTTCAAACAGAACTGTGGGTATTAAACGTACACACTTGTAACATGTATTTACATTCCAAATTGTTGTTTGATGAATCGTTCACGGTTTATACATCACGATTATGAAATGCTTATGTTGATTGACAAAAATAAACATAAGGTAAACTCTAACAATGTTACAAAGTCACTACCTACCGTTACATCAGACGTATAATATAACGGTGCACTCGTAAATATTGATGTTTGTTATCTTTGTTTATAATTGAACTTTTTATTGCATGTTTCATGTTGCACCCGCTTTTCTAGCTTTTTTATCTTGCCTATTGGACGCAAGTGTTTGCCCACAATTTGTCGTGGTCAACTATAGTTATCGGCCGACCGCGAGCCTTCGTTTTTCAACTCAAAATTTCCAGATCTAAAACTATTGAAAAAAGAATGGACCGTGTTTATTTAAAAAGTGTTAGGCCCGTACACAGCGTTAATGTTTCGTGTTGTTTGCGCAGTCAACTCATATTCGAAAATTATAATTATTTATAGTTCACCCATGGCCCCAAAAACTACCACAATTTCACAAAATGTTTTTGTTTTTGTGAATTTTTGGCAACACATGAATTTTAAGTTTAACTAATATGGCTTTCGAATAAAACTAATTTAATAGAATTTTTAATGTCACGCCAATCCACAGATAACTAAATCTGAAAATGCTGGGAAACTTCATAGGTAGCTGGACCTATTATATGTTTAGTCATATGTATGTAACTTTACTAATATTATAAAGCTGAAGATTGTTTGTTTGGTTGAATTCGCAATCTCAGGAACTATTGCTCTGATTTGAAAAATTATTTCAGTGTCCATTTATCGAGGAATGTTACAGGCTATACACCATCACGATACGACCAATGGGAGCGGATTATCAATGAAAAATGTTGCAAAAACAGGGGAAAATTATTCTGTTTGAGAGCTTCCGTTGGGTGCGCTCCGTAAACAGTTAAAGTCAAGACAAAATTGTTCCCCTTTAAAAGCAATAAAAAAAGTTCTAGGCAGCATAAGTCTATCTTTTATTGACTCACCATAACCTTTTTATAGTAACCAAATCCCCTCGGCCTCCGGCCAAGGCGCAAGCCGCCTCGGTTGACACCGTGCGGTATCCGCGTATGGCTCTGACCGCCAATATCCTCTGGGGGCGCCAGAGGCGCGCCCTATTCGGGGCGGTCAGAGCCGCCACCCACACCGGTGCAACATACAGCGCCATGGACCGGACAACCCCCGCTTACAGCCGCCTCGTGGGAACAAAAAGTTCTACTCTTACTCATAATAGCTTGATGTACTGAAAACAGCTCCTGAATGTACTTTTTTGTGTTTTGTACACTTTAAGTGGTTTCTCCGGCTTTTTAGGGATGTAGGAGGCAGTAGTATGCGGTGTTTCCACTAAAAACCACCCCGCGGCCGGAATCAGGGCCAATCCTTAAAATATGTTGCGGCCCGATCGCATTTTTGCGACCAGGCTGTCACCCTGTCGCCTACCGCAGCAGTTAATCTGCCACCAGAGGTCACCTCCCTCTGGCAGCCTGCGGCCCTGTCGCTAGCTAGTATCGCCGCCGACGTCCTCTACGCTCGGGATCGGGAGAATGCCGATTCCGAGCTCTCCGAGTCTCTTTTTAGAGCATTTCACAGAAAGAGACCACTGCGCCCCAGCCCTTCTCACCCGCCAGCATGGCAGCAATGATTGCTGACGGGGACAGTTCTCGTCCGATATGGTTCTTGAATGTACTTAAGCTTTACAAATATATTTAAATCCAGTCCTTAAATTTCACCTAAGTTATTTAATAGAGATCGCTTTGGTTATACGCTCGTACATGTACAATAAAAAAAAACAAATCTCTTCGTTCCTATATTTCTAACAACACTGTGAAGGGTCAACAATTTGTATTTTTTTAACTGGAGTTTGCAATATCTTATTATTTCTATCTTAATGGTAGGAGAAGCTTAGGACAGGACGACCAACTGGTCCGACAGCTTGGTCCGAAGCTGGTGGACACTGCCTCCGCCCTAGGACGACTTTTGCCCAATTTGGGCGGGGCCAGTGTTCCCACGAGGCGGCTGTACGCGGGGGTTGTCCGGCGCTTTATGGTGCACCGGTGTGGGTGGCGGCTCTGACCGCCCCGAATAGGGCGCGCCTCTGGCGCCCCCACAGGATATTGGCGGTCAGAGCCATACGCGGATACCGCACGGTGTCCACCGAGGCGGCTTGCGCCTTGGCCGGAACACCCCCGTGGGATTTGGAGGCGGAAGTGCTCGCCGAAGTTTATCGGCGAGTGGCTGACTTCCGGGCGGAGAGCGGATTTCGCCCTTCGCCCGAAGACGTGCGCGAGTGGCGCGAAGCCGCTCGCCGAGCCACCATGGTCAGATGGTTGCTCCGGCTGGAGACTCCACGCTCTGGCTTTGCCGCCGTGGAGGCTCTCCAGCCGGTCATCGCTGAGTGGGCAGGGCGGCAGCACGGGTGCCTTTCCTTCCGGCTGACGCAGGTGCTCTCCGGGCAGGGTTGCTTCGGAAAGTACCTGTACTCGGTCGCTAGGAGGGAATCGAGTCCCGCCTGCCACCACTGCGACTGCAGTGTGGACTCGGCCTAGCACACGCTGGCGGTCTGCCCCGCATGGGCGACGCAGCGCCGGGCCCTCACTGCAGTCATCGGAGCAGATCTCCGGCCGGCCGTAAATTGCTCCATGGCCGGTAGCGACAGTTGTTTTACCGCGGTCGCAACGTTCTGCGAGGAAGTAATCTCGCAGAAGGAGGCGGCGTAGAAGGCCCGGGAGGACGACCTCCACTCGGACCCGATCCGCCGCCGGCGAACCGGGCGGCGGAGGCGCGCTTACATGCGCCTCCCGAGTGTGGCCGCGGGTGGACGGGATGGGTTCTCCCCTCCACCCGCATTAGTTTGGCCAGCCGCGAGGGGGCGGCGTCCGCGTGTGCCGGACGTCGCCTAAAGAGAGGAAAATATTGAGACGGAGCCCGCAACAGGAGCGGGCTGGCGCTGGCAGGGGTCCAGAAGGGGATAACTGCCTGGACCCCTCCTAAACTGGAAGCGCAAAGAGGGCACACCGTGTGGTTTTAGTCGGTTCGAGTCCGACACACCGCCCCGCCGAACGAGAGCCCCGGCGGGGTGAAGGTCCGAGGGGATTTCCACATATTAAAAAAAAAAAAAAAAACAGGACGACCAACTGGTATACTACTGTTTCACTTACTACTACTAAGAATTTCGATTATTTGGTGCATGTTTACTTACTTGGACAAGAAGCTCGCCGTCATCCACTGGTGGTGAACAGACATTGCTCCACTACTCAAGTGAACAGTATCAGTAGAAAATTCCAAATTTACTTAGTGAGGAAAATTTTACGATATTATTTTTGACGTAGTGAACACACCGACGAAAGGTACCGACTGTAATTAAGTTCCTTGATCGTTCATTGCTTATTAACATGACAATAAGACGTGTTTTTTTTTCATGGGAACCAAGAAAGATATAGTTACTCTAAATGCGTCAATTTTCATTTTTTGTCTCCCATTGGTCAGCTCCGCTTCAAAGTTTTTACTAAAGCCGGATCCGAATTTGTATCTAATACTATAAATGCAAAAATATATTAATTTTGTCTTAGGTGATCAGGTCAGCGTCAGTCACAAGCAATTATTTTAAACACACCCATATTCTTTGATGTAGCAACGGCAAATCTAGACATGAATATATTAGTGCTATTAATATAATCTAATCAACGAAACACGGGTAATAAACCATCTCATTTTTGATTTAGGTCATACACTATCAAGAAGATAGAACCACACAATTACTAGCGCAAAACCTAGAAGAGCTTAAACAGACACCCGGTTTGAAATAACTAAACAAACCAATTTACACGGTAAATTTAATATCGACGAAGGAGTTCCGGCGTCTATTCAGGCCACAGGGACTGTTTACTTCCTACTGAATTAGGTTATTGCCGAACAGAGCTGCTTCTTTAAGTACCAGCACTCAGTCGCTTAGAGGGAGTCCCGCCTGTCACCACTGTGACTAGTGAGGACTTGGCCCGGAACACGTTGGGGATCGATTGCTTGGTTGTATTGATATATCTATCCGCTTATGCGACGTAACGTTAGGTCATTTCTGGCGTATCGGCTTCATCGCCGGTAGTGACGAAAATTTTACTACGGTCACATTGACTGCACGGATGGCGTAGTGGTTTAAGCGGTCGCCACGCCGCTTCCTACTACGCCGAGTGTTGTGGGTTCAAACCCCACATGGGACGACACTTTGTGTGATCCACA